TGCTCATACCAACGTGCTCAAAAGGACTTTAATATGCAGGTCAAGGGCATTTCTCAATAATCTAATGCACCGTATCAATAAACAAATAACCCAGCCTCAAATCCTTCTATCTCGGCCAACTATCTCAAAGCACCAACAAATGAAGAATAGATCCAAACTGATAAAGGAGAGAATTTTACCTCCAAATGAAACCCTAACAAGAGTCTCCAAATGATCTCACCCCGCACGACGGCAACGAGATCCACAAATAGGAAAAATCTCACCTTTATCTCCAAACGAAGCCCTCGAAGAGCCTCCAAAGCGATCTACTCCTCCAAATAGCCCAAGCGCCAACAAACCAATGCGGAATAAACGAAGAATAGATCCAAACTAAAAAAATAGAGTCTTTACCAAAAAGATCCCACATTTCTCACCAAACGAAGCCCTAGCCAAACTTCCAAATTGATCTACTCCTCTAACCAAGACAAAACCCTAGATTTGAAATCTGGAGCTCTGATACCAATTGTTGTGCGCGTCGCGGAAGCGTGACAACCAAACGGGCGTGCTTCGAGAACCAAATCAAACAAACGTCGAGATAAAGGCCAAACAAATCAAAACAACGGCACAAATCCAAACACAATAGTTTTACGTGGTTCGACAATTGCCTATGTTTACGGGGCAAGAAGGGGATGGGGTTTTCACTAATAGAGAAAGAGTACAAACTGAGATTACAAATCACTCGAAGGAACAAACTAATCTCACCAACAAGCTCTTAATCTCTCTGTTTGTGGAAAATTTTGTAGTAAGAAAATGATGAAAGAATTGCGTTTGATTTTATTCTCTCTAACTGCTTAGAAAAAGAATGTTTACAAATCTCTCAACTCTCAGTTACAATTGGATTTCCTGATTACAAAAGAGAAGAGAATGATCTGAATTCTCACATTTGTTTAATTCTGGGTTCTTCATGGTGGCGATGGAGTGCCTCCCTCAAATGCTCGCGTCGAGTTTGCTCTCCGTTGACGATCCGAACGTCTTGTGGCGATGGAGTGCCTCCCTCAAATGCTCGCGTCGAGTTTGCTCTCCGTTGACGATCCGAACGTCTTGGTTCACTGGAACAGTACCTTCTCCTTACGATTTGACGTTGTGGAGGACTTATGTGGTAAGTTGGAAACTCTGAACGAGTTGATTGATCTTAACCGTAATTGGTTAGACAAGCCAATGATTTCTTCTATGCTGCCAAGGAGCAGGATCCGAGCTCCAGGTCCACAAAATCTAGCCCCAAAGATTCAGCCCCGAACTAAGTTGATTTCTTAGTTATTTATAGAGGATTAAGGGGTGTAACAGCCCCTTTAATTCGCTCCTAAGTGGGGCTAATGGGATGTAACCGCCCCTTAAATCACTCCTGAGTGGAGTTGTGATCCCCTCAGATCGTGGGAGACGGTTGTGAAACCGTTCAGCTCGTGTTTGAACGAGTCAAACGCAAATCCTGCATTCTGGAATAAAATCTGTGTTTGAACGCAGTGTTTGCGAGCTGTGTTGGGCAGCAGATGGAACCTGCATTGGTAGGTATTAAAAGCTGTGTTGGCAGCAGTTAGATGCTACGTTTGCGGCCGAACATGAGCTGCGTTTGCAGCGATTTGGAAGCTGCGTTGGCAGCGTTTTTGGAAGCTGCGTTGGCAGCGTTGGAAGCTGCGTCTGAGCTGCGTTTGCAGCGATTTGGAAGCTGCGTTGGCAGCGTTGGAAGCTGCGTCTCAGCTGCGTTTGCAGCGATTTGGAAGTAGCGTTGGCAACGTTGGAAGCTGCGTCTGAGCTGCGTTTGCAGCGATTTGGAAGCTACGTTGGCAGTTGCGTTTGCAGCGATTTGGAAGCTGCGTTGGCAGCGTTGGAAGCTGCATATGAGCTGCGTTCGTGGCTATGAACGCGGTGCGTCTTGAAGCTGATACGCGGGGAGGACTTCCACGTCTTGGTTTAAAGAGACCGTCGATTTGTAGTCTCTTTCTGTCAGAACGTTACAAAGATCGTCGTTTTGTAATCTTTGCTTTAGCTCTTTGATATGTGAGAGTCGTCAGATTGTAACTCCCGATGTTGATTGTGGAGGTTGTTGATTAGAGCTTTCATCAGTTGTTGCAAAGGTCGTCAGATTGTAACCTTCATCAGTCTACGTGAAAGTCTTCAAATTATAACCTTCTGGAAGTCGTCAGAGTGTAACTTCCATCATTGGTGTTTTGATGAGGATCAACTATCTATTGTGATTTTTAGACAGCCTACACTCTCCAAACAAAACCCTAAACAAATAGCTCAGAAAATACCTCTTTTCTGTGCTCCAAATATCCCCAATTTTTCTTCTCCACCAATTTTCTCTTCTAATTGTTCCATATATATAGAAATCCTAAAATCATAAACATACTAGGAATTCTAAACCAAAACCAAATCAAATTAGGAATCCTAATAACCTATTACCAAAATAGATTAGGAATCCTAATAACCTCATGTTACCAAAATAGAATAGGAATCCTAATAACCTTATGTTACCAGAATAGATTAGGAATTCCCTATCCAACAGTTAATGCAGAGAAGAGCTATATACACGAATGCAGCGAGTAATTTAATTTCTTTCGTGCTACTTGTCTATTTATTTAGCTTTCTGGGAGTCTAAAATAGAATTTAGTTTGACTACTGTAAGAACACGTCAAGAGCACGTAGAAAATACTCTGATCTTCAAGACTCTACAATCCTCTCTTAGGTGCCCTTGGTAGCTTCTAACTAGAGTGGTTATAACTATAATTGAATGCCATTTGGTAATTTTGCCCAATTATCAGTATTTTCTCTTTGCAACTATTGTTTGTGTACATAATTTAAATTTCACATAATCATCTATCTTTTGGATTAAAATGTCACGTAAGCCCCTGATCTTGGGCGTGTCACAAAACTCACTAAATCAAATGTTTGAAAATTCTTCAACACGTACCCTAATGGCATAACCCCCAATTCTTCAACATAGCCCCCTAACTTTCATCATTCTTTTTAAAGCCCCGTCCTCACGTGCGTGCGCGCACATTCTCAACATTAGTTTAAGAAAATGCAGACTAGCAACATTACATTTACAAAACCAACATCGTGCTGTTTGGGGGGTATGTGAAAAAAAATTGTAAACTTTCTAGTGGTTCTATGACACGCCCAAAAGATAAGGGGTTAATTGACATTTTTAAAGTTCAAAGGGTTATCGCAAAATGAGCCAAAATAGGGGTCTTACGTGAATTATCCTAGTCCTCTTTAGCAAGTCGTAATCTTGAAAAAGAAGATATTTTTTTTTTTAACATGAGTTAAGAAGTTAATTAGAGTTAGAAAGGCAACATTTTCTTTAAAAAAAAAGTGAAAATTCTAACTTAACTAGAGAAGCACGGGCACGATAATCACTTGTTTTCTTTCCTTTTTCTGTTGTCTTTGTTGTCGTTCATTTCCTATTTTCCAATCTCGGTGTACGCTGTTCTGCACCAAACAGGGGATGGTGACTAGAGAAAAACAGGGGTGAAGGTGGGAGCGGAGAAATGAGACAAAGAAGGCGGGTCGACCCAGCACAACATTCGCGACGCGATTCCCCCCGCCATCATCGGCCAACCGCCTTCGCGAAACGTGTCCCTTTTGCGGGCCCCGCACTAACTTCACGCCGCCCTTGTCGGCTTACGTGGCACATAGTGCGGAATATCCCACGTCCCAAATTGCTGCCGAATATTCCACGCTGGCTTCCACGTCGGCTCCTTTCCCACGTGCCAATCCCTCGCTTCTGCTGTTCCGCCGGAACATTGTTCTACAACTGAAATCCATCTTTCCGCAAGTAAACTCATAAAGCCAAAAAATTTTGAACGGACTTGGGAATGTTTTTAGCAAAATTGTCTTATCTGTTTAAGAAAAGAATATTGTATTTCTACCAATTTCATGTTATGATCGGAGTCAATGTTAGAATTAGTTCACAAAGATAGCTAATTTTTGGTTCTCTCCCCCGTCTAATTGATTTTTAATCTCAAAACTTATGTTACCTAGTGACATAATTATTTGTCTTGTAAACAAGTTAATCTTATTTGCAATAAAAATTAGGTTCAGATGTTTTTCTAAAAGTACAATCATAATGGTAACAAAACATATGTTACCTAGTGACATAATTACTTGTCTTGAAAATAAGTTTCTCTTACTTGCAATAAAATTTAGGTTCATATATTTTTCTAAAAGTACAATCATAATGGTAATAACCATATGGCAGATATAAATTGAGAAACAATCCAAATCTTTTGTGCTACTATAATTGTTATATTTTTTTTCTTTGGATTATGATTTTTTATATTTTTATACTAACGTATTGCTTCTGTAGAGTGAGACCCAATTTTTTGATAGACGATACTGATTTTATAAATATGTAAAAAAGTTTTAAGTGTCTTTATAGCATGTGAGAAACTATTTACAGAACTCTTTTTCAGAAGGCCAAGTAAAAAAGTCAAATTTTAAAAATATATATAAATACAAAACGTCAAATATTTTTCTCCTTAAAAAAATTTCATTTAGTATTGTATTTCACACTGAAGCTAACCTCAACAAAAACCAAAGAACGGATAGAAGAAGCAAAGCATAAAAATAACCTTAACGTGTTCTAAGACACAAGCGATTCAACTGAACGAGGTACGATGTGTATAAAGAGCGAAGAGTGCTCATCCTATTTGTCAATCCGAATTTATTTCTTGCCCCAGCTCCAAGTTTTCCAGGATATTCGTCCACTCTCTAAAACCGCTTCCGTAATTTAAAAAACCCCTCATATTATTTTATACTTTATTCTTTCACGAAATTAAGGAAATTATCGCCCCTTCGAGTTTTTTTTTTTTTTTTTTTATCGGCATCTGAAGAGAAAATGTTTGAGCAGATGGAACAACGGAGAGGAGGGTCACTACGCTTGCGAACATGCTGAGTCTCCGTGTACGCTGCCGGCGGCAGTCTATGATGTCGGAGAGATCCGAAGCCAGAGGCTGCGCCGGATCTCCACGATCGGTTCGTTGATGCGGTCACTAAACTCGGCGGACCCGATAGTGAGTCTCACATTAATTTGTATGGCTTTATTGAGATTTGCATGAGGAGAAGTTTTAATATGGATCTAAAATTTTAAGAGTTCATTGCATTTATCGTCACTCAATTCCTTTATTAGTACTTAATCATTTTTTGGGATTGTCCTTTTGAAAAGAATGAATTATTGATAACTCATTCTTCCCTACGAATTGAAAGGCGATTAGTGCTAAACGTGATTTGTTTCTCCACACTCTTGGTTTTATGTTTGGCTGACATCCACAAGCTAGTTTTCCGTTGTGACCTAGGTATACGTTAGATCATCCGGATGTTGTAGTCTGCCGGTTGATTGTCATCGATGCATTAATAAGGGTTTGGAGGAACAAATCAACCCCATTAGTTTGAGTAGAAGGTGACTTGCGTCTCAACTGGTGTGTTGTTGATATGTCAAATATTTAGAGTGTTCTGATTTAGATGTGTTAATCATCAAATTTATACAGTGATATTAGGATAGATTTAGTGACCTTATTTAAAAGGAGCATAAAAGGATGCGTCGGCAAATATTTACTCTTTTCCCAGTGAAATTCTCGTATTTATCTCTTTTGTTATTATTTAAAAAAATAATTTGACTAATTAACTCAGTGTAGGCCTTCTTGATCTCCAAGACCGCAAGCTGCTCCGTGATTTGCGGGATTAAGAGGTTATAGGATATTTAGGTGGTCCTCACTCGAGTTCGGTGAATATGGAAGGAAACGAGGCAGCACGTGTTAGGTTACTACTAATATAGGGTTTGGTTCTTTGATTGTCCCCTTTTGTCGCCAAATTTAGGGGGTAAAACAGCATTTCGACCAAACAATTAGTACATAGTTTAGATTATTAATGCTGTTGAGAATAAAAAATAATTAGATTACCAACGAGTGTGTATATATGTATATATATATACTTTCTCCGATAATAATTTAAAAACTATGAATTTAATGCATTTGACATGTTCTTTAAGTCGTGATGATCAGTCTGCTCTTTTTGAAAATAAAAAAGAGAAGAGTAGGCCCTGGTGCAAAGAATCAAAGATATTAAAAATTAAATCCTAGATTGGAGGTTTTTTTTTTTTTTTTTTTTTTTTTGGTACAGAAGAGGCCTTGAAAGACCTATAATCTCAAAATGGGATTCCCACTAATATCATCTAAGATTGGAGTTTTTATATAATGAAAAGATAAATTTATGCATCTCAAAATACAAATTTGTTCTTCGCTAAGGTTTTACGCCAAACGGAGATGAACTATAGATCTTATTAATTATTAAAAAGAGCAATCTTATAGAAAAAGATGCACACAGGGAACTTGGAAATTATGGCGACTATATATATTTATTGGCCATTGGAAAAGGTGGAATAAGAGTTATATGGAATCATATTCTTCTTATATTTACTAAACAGGCATAATTCTACTTGATTTTAATTTTTGTTTTTCGGTAGCGAATATCTTCACAAGTTTGAGGGTCAATTGTGGATGGCCTTTAAATTGTTGTTTTAAAAGTATTGCTCTTTAGCTTTGTTTTAAATTTTTTGACTCTTTTATCCTCACAATAAAATAATCTCTTTCTTCGCCTGAACATACATATAGAAGAAGCCACCTCCCTCCGGTGGCCTCCCGGCCTAATTTCGAATAGTAAACGATTCTTACGGAATTCAGCAAAACTCTTCGTTGCTGGATATAAGAAAAATGTCAAATCTTGCAAGTGAAGAATAGTTGCACCGTAGCTTTCAGATATCTTGTCATAAATATCATCCCACTTTCTACCATCTCAATGATTGCTCCAAAACTTTGTATATTGGCAGAAGCAACGCCAAAGTCAGTGCTGAGATTGATGGGCATGAAGGGATTGACACTGTACCATCTCAAGAGTCATCTGCAGGTCATCACCTTCCCTCAATTTTATTCCTTCTCCAACTTTTTGCTCTCTTTTTTCCTGTACTTTTGTCAACTATAGATTTGCCTTTTTCTCTGTAGAAGTATAGACTTGGAAAGCAAGCCAGGAAAGAGACAGGATTATTGGATGCCAACAAAAATGGTATGTATTAGAAATTTAATAAGAAGTTTTTTACTTTTAACCTAAAGTTTTACCGCCACTTATTTAAAAACCCACAGACTTTTCCAAACATCAATACACATATTGTATTTCATCCCATTTCTTTTTGAACTACAGAATAATTAAATAAACATGGATTAATTTTGTAAAATATAGAACTTACAATATATAACAAGTTGTTACCTTATGTGAATGGTGTTTGCCTCTAGACCAAATAACATATCTTGATCTATGTCAACGTGCATCTTAACTATCTTCTTCTTTCAACTTAGATGTACGTTGAACATAGTTAACACATCAACATCATCATGAACATGTACAAACAATCCTTTTGTATATGGGACTTCATAAGTCAACTTCATTGGGCTTGACAACAAAACAAATCTGCTTTGCACCTCAGCCACTAAATTACTGAAAATCCCCTTGATATTCATTGGAATCAAATGATTGTTTCCTCTAAAGTCCATTATTGCACAATACAACTCTTCATCTACTACTAAAGTTCATAAAAAATAAAATAAGTGGGGGATCTTAACTAACAATCAAATATTACCAAACAAACACAAGTCTAATTTGCATTTTCTTATTGTATACGATATAATTCAACATCGACATTCAATATGCAATTCTCTACGTTTCTTACACTATATAATTCAATATCCATTCCTAAATATTTGAAGACCAGGTTTTCTATATTCTATAGAAATGAGAAATAAATGGTTTTTATTTTTTGTGTCAAATAAAGAAAAAAATAGAACTTTTAACTTTTTTAACTTTTCATAGCACTTTTTAAAGAAAGTATAGCACTTTTCTAACGCTCACGACACATAATATATTCAACAAAATCAAAGTTTTTCAATGAGAAAATAGTCTTCTCAACAAAATAAAGGTTTTTTCATATTTTTTTTTATATTTTTCAACAAATCAAGATATAAAGATGGCATCTCAACCACTTTATAGTTACCTTCAAATGTCTTCTTTTACTACAAGAAACGAACATAAGAGATCTCAATCAGTGATCTGATGTAGGATTAATGTCTTCTATGAGGAGAAATATTAAGGGAGGAGAGATTTCTCAAGAAGAGAGGAGAAATTAATGGAGGAGAGAGAGAAAGAGAGAGAAATTGAAGATGGGTACCAAATTGGGGTTTGGTGGAGTGAGAGCATTGCGTCCTTTTCTGCTGACATCATTGTCATTAATGTCATCTGCTGTTAGCGATGATCAGAAGAAGACAGAAAGGGCAGTGTCGGGTTTTTCATTTTTGGAAAAAATACTGTATAGAGATAGAGAGGTGTAATGGATATTGAGATTAAAACTAAAGTCACATGGGTATAATAGGTGTATTGATGTTTGAAAAAGTAGGTGGGTTTTTAAGTAAGCGGGGGTAAAACTTTGGGTTAAAAGAGAAAAACCCCGTGGAATAATTTTGTTATAGGCCTTCCATGATTTTATATTATTATTTGAAATCTTAAAATTCCTAAATTAATACCTCAATCATTTATATTGGATTTTAAAAAAGAAATTGTGGGAATATTGTTAGTTTATTTAGTGAGTTTTAGTTCAAATAGTAAGGAATATCCGTGGACAACTTTGACCAATTCAACTGATTTGAGGTATGGGTTTGATAATGTAAAGATTTCAGATGTTAATATGGAATTATAAAAAATGTCATATTTAACGTATAAGATTACACCTTACATTATATCTTAGTACTAACATTGTCTGTTCAAATTTAGGGAGCTCTAGTGGAGTCAATTACTCTTCTGCCACTAATAGCGATGTCTCAAGAGGAAACAATGGAGGGTATGTTTCTATATGCACCGAATTAACATCTTATGCATAGTACACAACATTCAATATATCAGAATGATTGATTACTCCGTCCTGTACTCGATCTAAAATTCTCCAGGTTAACCGGAAGATGTTACTATATACATAATTATCACCAAGCCACTCTTAAGTCTATTCCTGCACTCAATCTTTTACTGCAACTTCTTAGTGTTGATATAACGAAAGAATTAACCTGTTACAGTTTTTAGACTAATTTGACCAACACCAGACATTTCTAGTTAGACTTTGTGCAGCACTGATCCTAACCTCGCTAGCAATTTTGATGCAGAGAAATGCCACTGGCAGAGTCACTGAGATATCAAATTGAGGTGCAAAGAAAGCTACAAGAACAACTGGAAGTAAGTACTCTACACCCTTCCTGAATCTGAATTTTCCTGTTATATCCCCTAATCACCATATCTAACCGAACTACAAACGCTCCAGGTACAAAAGAAACTGCAAATGAGAATTGAAGCTCAAGGAAAATATTTACAAGCAATACTAGAAAAAGCCCAGAAGAGCCTCTCCTACGACGTAAACGACACAGAGAACATAGAAGAAAGCCGAGCTCAGCTGACAGATTTCAATCTAAATTTGTCAGGATTAATGGAAAATGTTAGCAATATTGTCTCTGAGGACAATAAGAAGACAGAGTCAGGAAAAGCAAAGGCGCACGTTTCTGGTTTCCGGCTTTATCAGGAAGATACTGAAGATACTGCGGATGTCAAGTTCCCTAGTGGCGGAGGATCGCAACATTTGGATTTGAATATGAAAGGAGGAGGGTATGATTTGTTTGGTGGAACTTTAGGAAGTGAACTAGATCTGCGGATGCAATTGCAAGGGAGGTAGATATCAACTTGGATGAGTTGCTATGGATGAATTATTTTTATTTGGTTTATGGGAATTTTTTATGTGTATAAAGTAATTTTTTTCCCCCGTATTTAGGCAGCTCTCTGAGCAGATGAGATGAATGCTTGCTTGTGTAAATTTTGTTCAATTCAGACGCGTAGAACATCAAATAAAAAAGTTCTCTTGAAATGTGGAATAATAGAGTACATTTTTGAGGAATAAGTAGTAACACTTCGATACTAGTGATACTATTGGATTTTGGCTAAAATAAAGTCGATAATTATCAAATAAAAACGTCTAGTAAAATGAACAAGACTCATCAAGCTTTAGATTCAGGAAAATTCAGATTTTTTATTTTCTTCTCATTAAATTGTTTGAGCACAGACGGTTAGATATTTATTTTACTAAAAATTGTTAGTGAGGTTAGGATCACTGCATTGTATAACGTTTGTAGTTCGGTTTAGATATTTACTAAATTGTTTGAGCACAGGGGATCTAACCGTCTAGTAAAATGAAAATCTCAAATGAATGCTACTATACAGAAACTCTAATAATAACAATAGAAAGTATTAAAACGACCTAAATGAAAAAACATGTAGTGATTTCAATGCTTGCTCACGATGCCAAATAAAAACTTAAGACCAAATGCGATTTGGTACATCTCCCTCACGCTTCTATGCCAGACGCGGTGCCAATTAAACAGGGGGTGGCCTGTTGGGGAGGAACCCCTGTGCCGAGATCCAATACCAGATAGCCGAGAGAGATGAACAATCACACCAACAATAGCACAAACACAATCAACACCAGTTTTAACGTGGTTCGGCAATGGCCTACGTCCACGGGGCAAGGAGATGGGAGTTTTCACTATTAGAAATCAAGAGGAACAAACTAGGGTTACAAATCTCTCATAAACCCTCTACAAATCAACTCTCAATCTCTCCAATTGCTCCTAGAATAGAAGCCCAAAGAAAACCCCTTTCAACAGCTCAAATCTCCTGCTCTCAAACCCTAGAGACATCCTCTAGGTATTTATACCAATCCCAAATGAAACATTCACGGTCAACTGCGACGGTCGACCGCCATGAAAACAGAAACTCCTGCGGTCGACCGCCACGGTCGACCGTCGCTGATCCAGACGCATAGAAAGCTCTGTGCACGAACACGGTCGACCGCCAACCTATCAGCTGCCTGTTCTGAGCCATCAACTGCTAATTTCTACAAATCTCCACCTCGGCGAAGATTCTTCCAAACTGAGCCTACACCAACCAAACCAATTGCCTCACTTGTTACATCCAATATGCCATGGCAACGGACTCATGACAACGGACCCCATCCACAACACGTCGAGACCCAAACGGGAGTGCGAACACTCACCCCAAACCAACTGTATCTACTCACCAAATCGGTTGCATTAAAAACTGACTGCCTACGTATCCTCTCCAAGGAATCAAGCCTTCACGTAGTTCACCTAATGGCCTCCAAAGGTCCTCAATCCAAAAGAAGAGTCATCAACTCTTCACCAATACCAACATCCAATGCGCGGCTAACAGCATCACCAACGGCTCCATATTGAAACGATCCAAACACCTCCACCTGAGGTGAACCAATGGCCGTATCCAAGCTATATCCACCAGCTGCACATGGATCTACCAACTCGTCATCTGCATCCTGAATAATCCGATCCCCAAACTATGTCACCTCAGCCAGAATCCCAACTAATACAAAATGACCTGGAGTATGTGGAGTAAGCTCCACCCAATATGGAGTAGCATCACGCTCCACCCGCTGTAATATCCCACTGACATGATCAATACTCTCTATCCGCCGAGAGTCCAAAGTGACAAACCTGCTCAGACCAAACTCAGAAGCTCCCAACTGATAGCCGAATGAGCCACTGAATCCCAAATGCGTAATCAGATCCAATTTCACATCAACGATGTGACCAAGTGCTGGGTAGCCAAATATCCGACGCCAACCAAAAACCAAAGCACCTTCACCAGATCTAACAACTCTACACGTAGCAGTCGGCAACCTCATAAGATAGCCCAAACATGTCGAAATCTGAATACCAATTCCATTGCTCGACAACCAACGCTGATCTTCCTCCAGAAAAGAACGGCCCACTAAATCCGCCATCTCATCACGTCACCCCACTGTCTCCTCTCCTCTGAAGTGTCTCCAACTGTCATGAGCTCGGTACCAATGCAAGAAAGAACCCCTACTAAAACTAGTACGACGGGTAACCTTTCTGCCCATACACCTCCTCCAACTATCGCAGACTATTAGGGCTTCATACAAATGGGCATTGGTTGTAACCCGCCTAGTACAATCCCCAACATAGGAAACAAAATAACAATTACCTCCCAATAATGCATCCATGGAAGGCCTCCTAATGCCTGACTGAACACCTCCAATAAGACCCCACGATCGGTGGATAGAAGTGTCCAACTCCACCTCGGTCTTCTCGCCCATCCCAATATGCTCAAAGGACTTCAATCTGCAGGTCATAGCACTCCTCAACAATCTATGCACGGCATAAACAATAATATATCACAGCATCAAATAATGCCACAGTCTAGCCAAAGAAGTCGTCAACGCTCTATCAATCACCATGCTCCCAAGCAGATAATACAAGTTACTCCTCCTGACGCCTTTCATAACAATCATGGACCCCAATGTGACCTGCAAGCGAGAATCCACCAAGGTCACCCTATAGCCTGCTACTTCCAATACCCCAAGTGAAATGATGTTCTTCCTCAGTTGAGGAACGAACCTCACATCAACCAACTCCCGAGTCATTCCGTCACTCGTGAATACGAACGGTACTAATACCACCAATAGGACATCTGTGATCATTACTCATAAGTACAACATCTCCTCTTTCCAACTTCTGAAAGCTGGAGAACCAATCCCTCCTAGGGCATATGTGGTAAGTAGCACCCGAATCCAACATCCACTCGGTGGAGTCGGCAATACCAACTGATGGAAGAGGTGGGCACAAATAGCCCGAAGAATCTGAATCTGAAACATCACCACTAGCCTTGGTAACATTCACCTCTGAAGCTTGAATAGCTTTTCCCTTATTCTTCCCAGCTTGTAATTTTGGGTATTCGGCTTTCCAATGTCCATCCTCTCTACAAAAGGCACACTGATTCCTACCAACTGCAGGATGCCCCCTCTAGACTGCGACCTCCTATCACGGTTTGGACTTCTAGCTCTTGCAACCAATGCCCCCACTACCGGCTCAATGAAAGTCTCCTTGTCCTTCTTACGAAGTTGATAATTCACAAGAGCCGCGGTGACCTCACTATATAAAAGAGACGCATTCCCATTAATAAGAGTGAGGACGAAGGTCTCATATTTCTCGTCAGGTAAGGAATTCAACAATAACAACGCCTTATCCCCATCTTTAATAATAACATCTACATTCGCCAAATCTGCAAGTAGCTTTGTGTAGTGGTTCATGTGATCACTAATGGATGTCCCCTTCTTCAATTAGAAGCGATAAAGCCTCCTCTTCAAATGCAAGCGGTTTTCAACGCTCTTCGTTGCAGAAGTCTCATTCATCACATCATATTTTAGATCTTGAGTGAGACAATACCTAATCACACCACACGCCGTTCTATTCATTTTCTTCCAAACCTTCTCATCAATGTCGGCCGGTTTTCCGTCCAACTCCAACGTATCTTCCAAATTTTGCACATTTAGCGCATCCATGACTTTGCATCTCTAAAGTCCAAAATTATTTGTGCCATCGAACTTCTCCACATCTATCTTCATAGAATGAACATTCAAACTTTGGACGGTCTTCACACTAGAAGAACCCTTCCCACTTTTATCTTTCCCAATCATTATCTCAAAGCACCCAAACAATTGCGGAACAAACGAGAAATAGATCCAACTTGAAAAAGATAAAAACTTTACCATAAAGATCCAACCTTTATCACCAATCGAAGCTCTAGATGAACTTTCCAACTGATCTACACCTCCAAAAAGCCTAAGCGTTGCCCGAAGCTCTGATACCACTTGTTGGGGAGGAACCCCTGTGCCGAGATCCAATACTAAATAGCCAAGAGAGATGAACAATCACACCAACAATAGCACAAACACAATCAACACTAGTTTTAACGTGGTTCAGCAATGGGCTACGTCCATGGGGTAAGGAGAGGGAGGTTTTTACTATTAGAAATCAAGAGGAACAAACTAGGATTACAAATCTCTCATAAACCCTCTACAAATCAACTCTCAATCTCTCCAATTGCTCCTAGAATAGAAGCCCAAAGAAAACCCCTTTCAACAGCTCAAATCTCCTGCTCTCAAACCCTAGAGACACCCTCTAGGTATTCATACCAATCCCAAACGAAACGCGTTTGGAAACAGAACCAGACCCGAAAACTGGCTAACCGCGATCGGACCGTGGGTCGACGCGATCCATCGCGGTCGACCGCTCACGGTCGACCGCCCTCAATCCCAGAGCAGCCTTAAAGTCCAGAAACATCTGCGATCGACCGCGACGGTCGACCGGCCATGAAAAACAGAAACTTCTGCGGTCGACCGTCGCGGTCGACCGCCACTAATCCAGACGCACAGTGCCTTCTGTGCACGAACGCGGTCGACCGCCACGGTCGACCGCCAACCTGTCAACTGCCTGTTCTGAACCATCAACTGCCAATTTCTACATGGCCAAATTAAGCGATTTATAAGTGAGTCAGGATGATGCAGCTAGCGGCTGAACACTCCGATCCTTCATATTAAAGACCCCCACATCTTGCCTCGTGCTGCAATACCCAGCTCCATTCGTGAAATAAATACAATTCTCTTTCAGCTCAGGCAGGTCTCCGGTCTTTAGCATCATCGAACGATTATTCCCCAAAAACACTATCGATCGTGCCCTCCTCCAGTCTTTCCAATTTGATCATCTTCGTCCCTTCCAGTGAACCCTTGGGTCTCGAATATCACGCGCTTGGACAACCCCTCACCATCGTAGTCTCCATCAGGTGATCACCCCCCCCCCCCGCCCCCCCCCCCCACGCCCCACCCCATGTCATGGCTCCATATATATGCAGCAGATCGTTACCGTCCAACGTCTCCACTAAATAAAATAACTGGGGTGATGTATCTTTTTCTGTAAGAGGCGCCCACTGTGAACGTCCTCTCCTCCTCGGTGTCGAAAACGAGACATCGAATGC